TTGTACTTCAGGATGGATCTAGAAATTACTTTCTTAACTATGAAAGCAACTCCATTTTTCCTCACCTTTTCATCACCAGAGTTAATATACCATATAATCATCCGACTCAAAATGCCCCATGACAGTCCATCTCATCTCACCAATGATTAGTATGTCAATATTTATGTGTTCCATTTCTTCCTTAACAATATCTAATTTTCCTACATTCATGGTTCTCACGTTTCATGTCCCAATCACTAGTGTCTGCTTACAACTGTTCCACTCCCTTTGTACTTCCATACTTGAAAGCTCCACCTCAGTTGCCTTTTTTGGTATTCTTCTCATGTTCTGTTAATTTCTGTTAACATTTTCCAACTACCAATCTTCCTTTATTTCCAACTCCTGCATTCCATTTGTCAATTTTTATTAATGCATCTTAAGTACAAATTCAATCAATTTCAGACTGCAAAAACTGGTAGAAATCCTCAATTTAATTATCTTTGGCTTAAGTGGTTAGTGTATATATTTGACTAATAGTCTAATTGACAAAGCAGTAAATGCAAAATCTAATAAACATTTGTTGAACAAAGGAAAGTAGTGCTAAGGCAAGAATGACCTTGCCTTAGCTTTACCATGCCTGAGCTCCTGTCTTGCCACTGACCCAATGAGATTAAAGAGGTTCTCTGTCAAGAAGTTTTAAGCCTTGAGGCAATCTTATTGAGGTCTACTTAATTTTTTTATTTCTCAAAAATCAATGTGTCTGGTGTGTGTGTGTGTGTGTGTGTGTTGTGTACCACTGAGTCAGAACCAACCCATAGCTGATACTCCAGTGGGTTTTTAGAGGCAATTAGTCACTCGGGAGGAGATTGTCCATCCTTCTTCCACAATGTGTCTGATATTTTCCTTATAAAGATTGCACTGCTCCTCCCTTTCATTCATTGGAAGTTATTTAAGTCAGTCTTGTGCAACCTCCATAAATAACCCTGTGGGATTAAATTTTGTCCTTATCAAGAGTTCCTGAGAGGTAACTTCTAAAATATTTGACTTTCAAAATAACTGAAGTGTTTTTGGTTAAGATTCTAGACTTCACGTATGACTCAAGACTCACGTAGGATTGGGGCATAGTAAGTTATTCTAGGGAGATATGAACTTAGTGATTTCAACTGATCTCAGACACAAGGACTTGAATTTTAATTAAGTAATTGCTATTGAGTTGGAACCAACTTGTAGCTGATTCTTCACTGGGTTTCCAAGACTTTAAATTGCATGAGAGAAGATTGTAGATTTTTCTCCTGTGCAGCTACAGGTGGATTGAAACCTTTGAGTTAGTGGTGAAACTACCTGTGGACTATGCCACAAGAGCATCCCAATTATCTAATGAGACTGCCAGAAAAACTCTGGACACTGAAACTTGAGAAGTTTCATCATTGGTGACAGACTTTGGTGGATGTAGGAGGATAATGTGACCATTTTTGAAGCATGAAAACTCTATGTTGGGAACACTTTCAGATCTCATTTTTTGTGTTTCTTTATTTATATTTTTTTTCTGTAATAAAACTAAGGCCATAAGCACAGAGTGTTGTTCCATAAGTTCTGTGTCATTTTAGTGAATTATTGAACCCATTACTGAGAATTACTAAGAGAGTAGAGTGAGTCAGTAGGTCAGAAGTGCCTTGTGGATTCTTGAGCTTATGGCTGGCATCTTGAAGGGGCAGTAAGAAAAATCCCAAATCTGTAGCCAGCACAAAGTCAGAAGTGATGTTATTGTTGGGACTCCAAGTTCATCTAAAATGTTGAGAAGACTTGGAAGTCTTGAGTACTTTTATCTTTAATGTGTAAAGCCTGACCTAGTTCAGGATGGTTATGGTTAGATTAAGAAGTATTTCAGGTGAAGGTGGTATCAGTGCAGAAGTGGAACAGATGGGGAAAGAATTGTTAATAAATTAGTTAGGATTGGCCAAAACATTTAGTATCACAATAGAGTTTTGATTATTCCAGGTTGAGAGGGGGAAAAAAATCAATTAAATTCTTACCAGCCTAAAAATTGACATCCTGAGTCAGCCACTCCACACACCCTGTATTAAAAAAAAAATGCAAAACATTAGAATACCCATACTTTCCTGGGGTGGAACATCAGGAGGTCCCTGCCCTTGCTGACTTATGAAGTGCTCAGTATGAAATCTGGCCCTGCAAAATGACTTTTCTATAAATGAGCAAATGATTAATGCTTCAAAGGCCTTTCCCAAATGTAAGAAAATTCTTTCTCTATTTCTTATCCTATTTTATCTTCTATTACGGAATTCTAGGGAGATGGTAGTATAAAGAAGCCATTATTCTGACATGCTTTTTTTCACAAACAAAATAACAAGAAATACAAGGAAATGGTGCTACTTTTGAGGTATTCTAAAATGAGATGTAGAGTAAAGCCAAAGGAACATGCAAGAATAAACAAATAAACATTGGGTCATTTTGATATGAAAACCCCAACTCTTATACAGCCTACCTCTTCAACCAGAGGCCACCAACTGCTGTGAACTAAGGTAATGTCTCCAGAAAAAGAACCTACTTCCCCAAACTACTTCTATTTGCAGATTATGTGATCCTATAAATAGAAAATTCCAGAATAAAAAAAAGTTGATTAGCAAAGTGGCAGGGGACAAGATCAACATATCAAATCAGTCAAATTCAGGGGACCTCTTGTGGCCTAGTGGCAAGAAGCTGCACTGCAATCCCAGAGTTATGCGGTTTGAATTCACCAGATGCTCTGCCGGAGAAGGAGGGGCAGTCTCCTCCTGTACCAGTCAGATCCGACTTGATGGTCCACAGACACAGACACAGACACAGACACACACACACACACACACACACACACACACACACACACACACACATATAAAATAAAAAAATAGAGTTTATAAAGAAGAAAAATCATTTAAAAAATCAGTCAAATTCTTCTACACTAACAAAGAGAACACTAAAAAAGAAAATAATGCCATTTACAGTAGCCACTCAAAAGATGAAATACTTAGAAATAAATTTAACCAGAGACACCAAACCCTATACAATAAACAAAAAGAGACCTACATAAATAAAATAATATACCATGGTTATAGGAAGAGTTAACAATTAATTAACATTTTAAAAATGTCAATATTACCAAAAGTGATATACAGGTATAGTACAATCCCAATTCAGATCTCATTACCACTTATCAAAGAGATGGAAAAAGTAATCAACAACATTGTATATGGCAAGGAACGGCAAAGCACTGTTGAAGAGTAATAATAAAGAAAGCCTTGCATTTCTCCATCTCAAAACTTACTACACAGCCATAACAATCAGAACAATATGATAACAGTACAGCAACAGATACATAGAACAGTAAGATAGCATTGTGAACCCAGAAGTAAACCCATCCATCTGAGAGCTGATCTTTTTCTTCCCCCCAAATATAAGATCATTTAATTACGTGAAAAATACCATCAACTACAAACCTGAAAATGTACAAAACCACATTTTCTTAGTCATATATTCTGAACTAATGAAAGTTAGACCAACACCTTTTTAAGAGAAATTATAACTTGGAACTCAAACAGCAGTACACACTGACAATGGAATCTCACATTTAAAATACAACTGTCTATTTTCTCACATTCCACTTGTCCTCACTAATGTGAGTTCTAAGATGTTGGGGACAGAGGATTGACTGAACACATTATCACATTCCTTACAGTCATATAGTCTGTCTAGATAGAATTTCAAATATTTACAGAGAGAGCTGATGAATGACTAAAGGTTTCTTATCAACAACAACAACAATCTATGAATATGCGTGAATAGTTTCTTAAACAGCAAAAAATGCAAAACAAAGGAAGGATAAAACAGATGAGTATTAGTTATTGTTGTTATGTGCTGTCGAGTTGGCTGCAACTCATTAGTGACCCTATGTACAACAGTTCTGAACCCTGCTCTATCCTGAGCCAACCTTACTGTCTCAGACACACCTACCCCCATTACCCCAGTCATTGAGTTAATCCATCTCACCCAGGGTTTTTCTCTCTTGCACTATCCCTCCACCATCCCAAGCATGATGCCCTTCTCCAAGGACTGGTCCCTCCTCGCAACATGCCCAAAGTATATCAGGCAGAGCTTCAAAATCCTTGCCTCCAAGGAGCAGCATGGTTTCACCCTCACCAGGTCAAACTTAATTTGTTCTCCTAGCTGTCCATGGTATATTCGACACTCTTATTCAGTACCACATCTCAAAGGCAACAGTTCTCCCATCATGTCTCGTCACTGTCCAACTCTCTGATGCATAGCATGTAATTGTGAAGACTATGGCCTGTATTAGGTACACCTTAGTCTCTAGACTGACATTGTTGCT